GCAGAGGCGTCCTGGCAGTCCCCGTGATCCCGTCCCAGAGGCTTGGCGTTGATAGGTTGGTTGTAGGCACCAAAAGGCGCCCTGTGCGGGACCGTTGATTAACATTTTCTTTCTGCAGGAATCTATCAAATCAAATTGAACTTATATTATTGGCAACATCTTGCTGCCTGAAGCATGCCGAAAGCCCTCAGGCCTTCATCGCGTTGTACAGGACGCATTCCCTGTCTAATGACAAATACTGCATAAATACAAGAGTTTTGTTATTGTGGATTATGAAAACTAAATTTTTGCTGTAAAAATGTAATTTGTAATTAGGAATGGACATATTTCTAGGTGTTTTCGTTTCAAAAAATTATAATTACGGCCGAAAAATACCATCTGAAGCTACCTGGGTGGTAGAAATATTGGGTGAAAGAGATCTTGATTTATGGGGCAAACTCTGTTCCGGGGGGTTCCAGCAGAATTGGTCTGTTTAACGCGTTTGACGGTTACTTATGGGCGTTCTTGCCCAATAATCAGGTGATTATCACCTGATGAAGGGACAAGACGTAGCTCAGGAACGTCGTGTTGTAAATATAAAGAAGTTCCATACGTATGGAAAATCCATACCATACGTTATTATGTTTATGAGGGTTGATTGCAATGCACAAACACAATATCTTAGTCACACAAATTTAAGTAGGACATGCTTGGATGCAGTTCTTAATAGTTTTGAATTTCTTTATAATATGTGTACGCATATACCTATTCCTGTATTTGTATACTCCGATTTCGTGTGAGATGCATATGTGTATGCGCTATGTCTTACATGGGCTCCGATCTGTCTACCAGTTTGAACTAGGGCATATTATCTGCTCAACATATATAGAATTCACAACAGATATAATGGTCCTAAAACACCATTAGGATTGGCTTGTACATTGGTTTGACAGATACCTAACTTCATCGAGTGAGATAGTTTCGTATTACGCTACTTTACAACAGTACTATATTACGTGGCTAAATGGTGAAATGTATACTGTATCATAACTACACAGTAAGCGCCTGTTTGGCGTCACTGTCAAACAGTGATGACACCAGGTGTTATCGAAAGGTTAAGAGCACCGCACTCCACATGTGGAACCAGACACATGCAAAGTAGGGTCAAGAGTTCAGCTAAAATATAACTTAACATTGGTACAAACAAAACAAGGGAACTGCATCGGATATCGATTAGTGTCCAAACGTTGTGTAAATCTTATTACGTCATCGATTGCAGTAAAGGTTTGGAGCAAGAAACATATGGTGTTCCTTGAAATATCTGTAAATTGAGCTTACTCGATTGAAACTCACATGTTGTGACATGTTGACACCAGACATATTTAGACAGGTTTCATCCCTTGATCATAAGAGAAAGTGTTGAGGGAAAGTCGGATGCTACTTTTGGTTTGCTGTTAACAAACATTGCCTCGTTATTAGTGTGAATCAAGGCATATATTCAACCTTTGCGAACATGAGACAAACACAAGACTTTCCAGAACATCAAGTTATTGTCTTTGCCATGAAACAGTACAGTCCAGCTACCATGCGTTAGTTCTTCATTCGTGTTCCGGAGGAGCTGTCTCTGTGGTCAAGAGGGCCGAGTGTCTGCCCGAAGATAGCAAGGCTGGTGGTTACTAGCCACTGGATAGCACACACCCGCGTCATACCAAACATGATACATTGTGGCATTAACTGAGTAAAACAAGGAATGGTAATCTCACAGTCAGTATACTGTGTCTCAGAGTCAGTATACTGTGTCTCAGAGGTATATCCATATATGGTATGTCACGGGACCAAACTTAAAGCCGGCTTCAGCACGGACTAGTACAAGCAACAGCACATACGTGCATAGTTAGTGCAATAGTCTCGCCTGACGTCACCTCAGCAATTCTAGACCTAATAATGAACTAAAATCTGATAACTCATTTATTGTCCTTTAAGAACAAGGAAAGACATACTGATAATAAACACTTTCATCTTTAAAAGTCACGACATATTCAATTCCACAGAAAGCAAGCTGACAAAAACTCTTTGAAAAAAATCCTGACTTTACCAAGATTTATATTCACATCATACATCAACTCTAAAGATATCACACAGTTCAGTTGGCAAGTATTACTTAACGGCCTAGCTTTAAAACTGGCAATGAATCGAATTTTGTCTAACTTCCATTTCGCAACAGGTCAGGGAGACTATCGATCCAGCTCCTCAGTAACAAGACGTACTTGCGCATGGTATTTATATATAACAGTCCCTCACCTTGTCGGCGGCTCCTGTCTGGGGGAAACTGACGCTATTTTTACCAAATGTGTTTCATAGTCTACATAATCATTGAGCAGGGCCAGGAAGATTTCTAATTTGAAGATCTGTGCTGGAGAAACATTGATCAAAGCACGCCGGGAGTGCATGTCCCATATCTTTAATTGAAACTTACAAGTTGTAGTAGCGAAGACAAGGCGGGTTTTTATTAACATTTTTGTTTTAGTTTTCATCGTGTTACGGTATAAGGTTTTGGTTAGAGAGTGGACGTACATTTACACAGAAGTGAAGTAGGATGTTTCAAACATCGCTTCAAACCCCAGATGACCTTTCTGGACGTTCTTGTAACGATCGGACGATGAAAGTTTCACAACTTGTTATACATCTATCGTCTAAAGGGAACACAATCAATTTTCACATTGATATGAGAACAAGCTCTGGCAATCGTTGTTGTGTTATTCTAGACTACAGTTGGCTTGTACTTCTCCTTGTACTAGTCCCATAGGGAGCCGAGACCGGATTGTTGCCAGTGATTTGGTGTCATAAGAAGCGACTTTAAGCTGGTTCAGGTGTTCTCTGTAGCTGTCACGTGCAGTGCGGAGATTTAAGAACGTCTTGCTAAACTCCTTTTTGCTTTAAACTAGCTTGATCTTGTTACCCTTCTTCCTGGGTGTCCGCTCCTTCTTTTGTCTGCTTTAAAGCTGATTAAACAACAGTCATTTATCTTATGCCATTTTCCACTTGACCCCTTTTTCGCATGGATTAACAGTGGTGTGACTAGGACGCCTACAGCGGTTTACGGGGCTGCAATCCGTTATTGCGGACACCAGAAGCCAGGACACCCGGCTTTCTGGACGGGTATTGTAATGTGATGGGTAAGATTACACAGTTGCGTTTCCTGGTGCAGGTGACTCGGGATTCTTTGGACCATCTCTTTAAGGTGTAGAACAGGACATGCTCACCGCGCAATCGCCGTGTCATCACTGCTTTTCAGTTTCAGTGTATCTTGTCTTTTTAGGCAGATATTCTGTTACGATTTGAAAAATGCTGGCAATGTGTAACTACTGACTATGAAGCGCATATTTATCGAACGCCCTGAAACTGCTGGCAGTTTGTAACAATTGACGATTTAGCGTGTATATATCGAACAACCTGAACCTACTGACAATGTCTAATAATTGACAAATTCGGGACTCATTAAACAAACTGAAAACAGTGTGCAGCCTTGCATGAATATTTTGAAAACTACAAACACAACATTTTCCAGTAATCATACACTCTTTGATTTCCGATAACCTCTTCCCTAAAAACTAATAATTCAAATGTTTGTTTCTAACAATGTCGATTTGGGGTACCCGGACGGAAAACCAAATGCCAAACTGACTCCCATATAACTCACAAGAACAGCTGCCGTTATTTCAAATAAGACGGTGTCGAGCTGTATGTAAATAAGTACCCCATATTCCAGAAGCCCACAGGTCATTTACAGAACGCTATTACATTCCTTAATCAGTGAATTCTAACCACGCTTCTGTTAAGCCAGCACGGTCTAGCGTTCTAGTAATTGGTTAGCAGTAAGCGGTCACACAATACGACTAGAGCACTCAGCTGAGATTTTTTATTCTTAAAGAACTAACGAGAAAAGACTGCGGGGATCACTGTGTGAATACCAAATGGAGGTGCTATTGTGTTGCTGAACGTCACGCTGTCAGGCAACTGGAATGGAAATACTGATATTCAGTATGTGAGAGGCTGTGATGGTCGTGGACAACGTGTGGGTTAGCCCTGTGTCAGAAGGTCGCTGGTCGTATCTTCCAACGCTGAAACCTAATCACGTCCTTGCTCCGTTATACAACCGTCTTGGGATTTCAGAACTGTCGAAAGGCGTTTAGTGTTTTGGACACCTAGCATTTCCTCGCATGCTTACATATACCGGGAATATAACTGGAGTAGTTTGAGTGACATGTATGAAATTAACAACGAGACTACCCCAAGACCGAGTTTGAGTTTTATCGGGAGTACATTCAATTTGTTTAAAGAATATTCTTTTGACATCAGCATTGTTTGGTATCCATAACGAATTTCGTGTGATGCCCAACGAATGCTAAATGTATGTGGCATGCGAAATACGTCGAAACTTCGATTCTCACTTAACGTTAAGGTATCCATATTGGAAGGTTTCCGGAATAACAATGATATTAAAGAGTCACACATAAAAATCATCTAGAGTAAACAAACAGAATTTAAGGTTTTAACATTGAAAATTCCTGTTTTATTTATAGGGGGCGCAAAAGGCGTTTTCCGGTTTACCGCACTGGGTTATGAATCTTTGAAAAACAACGTTGCGTTTCTTTTGCGTTTCAGTATCTATGATCCCCAACAACATGACAGTTTCACATTCATCTCCATAATACACAGTTCATACTAAGTGCCTTAGTTTAAAAAATAGTACATTACTGTAAACATAAAATGATTATGTCCTGGTTGTTAAATCCATTTTACCCTTGTTTAAGCCTCCAGAACCAGTGGTTACAATGGATGTTAAAATTTGAAAGGGGCATCGTCATGCTGCAAGTGCCATTAGTTACGATGATTGCCTCCGATAATGTGTTTTGAGTACCACTGATTTGGAAAATATTGACTGAAAAAAACCCTGACCAATATATCACCATTAGTTAAATGCTTTATATCCAGTATGTATTATTAATAAGCTGACTTACTGACTGTGCCGACTCCCAACACCGCTGATGAGATACTTGGTCGGGGCGAACCCTCCAGGGGGCGCACGGGCTGTTGTTGATGAACACGGTCGGACTCGGTCTCCGGTTACGTTAAGAGGATTATCGGTGTTCAGAGTTTGTGCGAAAATAGAGGTATTAGTCATATGTGCACACGCGACACTGTAACCAATACACAACCGCCATTGATCGAGTCTTACCTAGCCGGGTGGGAACGTTGCGTATTGATTGCGAAAACACGCCATTTCAGATATTTAAAAAAAAATTGTAATCAGTTTCAATGCTGGATAGATATAACATTTAATTACATTTGATGTGTAAGAGTTAAAGCATTCAGATTCAGCTTGACCGAGTAATGCATTATGTCAGGACTGGGAGTCGGGTTGGAAGTGTGGTCATTGATAATGAATGAGACAGGGTTCGATACCCAAATGTGTTTTGTGATTTAAGATAGATGGACAAATTTATGTTGCAGAGTGTAACTATACACTGGAACGAGTATCGTGATTATATTATACATTGTTATATCGCTTGTATTGTATATATCGTTACTGTTATCGTCAAATGTACCGATACAGTGATTTATATTTGTCAAATATCGCGACACCTTGCCGTCTCCTTTATCATACGAAAATATGTTACCGAGATGACTCAACCACGATGACAAAATGGAATAATTCCGTTTATGTTGGCCACAACAGGGTTCGTACCAGGTGGGATTATGATTAAGTTAAGATGTATAGACATGTCGGCAGTCCTTACCATCACCAAGGCAAACATTTATGGATGTCAACTTCTTTATTTGAGGAACACGACGTTTCGGAGTATATTCTTACTCATCAGGTCAATGGAAGACTAGAAAACAGACAGCTATATATGTGCAGGTGACATAACAGGGACTATTTAAGTCTAATTAACTACCGGCTTCCCTTGTTATCTTATCACTGTTGCTGTTCATTCACCTGATGAAGAATTAAGAATATACTCCGAAACATCGTGTTCCTCAAAGAAAGAAGTTGACATCCATAAATTCTCGCCTTTATGAGTATCACTACTAAATGTCTTTCAAAGACATCATCATCATCATCATCATCATCATCATCATCATCATCATCAACATCATCATCATCATCATCATAAATCGTCGCCTTCGCCACTTCATGGTCATCGCCCTATTCATCACCGCTACCTCCATAAGCTTCATCACCATCAACGTGATCATCATCTTCATCGCCGTCGTCGTTGCTATCATCATCGTCTTCACCATCAGTGTCAACATTTGCATAAGAATCATCATTATTAATATGGCAATTATATTAACCATCATCATGTTCGTTGAATCGTACACATTGAAATACCTCTTCATGAATAATGTATAAAGACAAGATGAATACGAAGCTGATATGCTCATGTACAGTGTCGAGCAGTGAGCACAGCATCTCATTTTGCCTAGGGCCACTTTTATGGCTTTCCTTTAACCATTACAGAGAAATAATGATCATTTGAGAAATATGGCTATGGTGTAAGCCATAAACTAGCGTGCTGGCAGCACATTTACTGGGGTTCTGGTAATCGGTTGTGGAATCACTGCGACACAGCGGCATTAGATCCACCAAATACATAACATTTAAACACCAGACCCATGGCAGGAAATATGTATATGGACTGTGGTACATTGGGTTTATTGCTGTAGTTAGCAGTATTACGCTTATGTATGACGGCAGCCGCGTGGAGCAGTACATGTCGAGTCAATAGCGGGAGAACTTATCTTAAATGGCAGAGGACGCCAAGTTCTGTCGGGTGACATCTGGTCAATGCTTCCTCACGTGGTCACTGGACACACTGACCGATCGGGTGAGATTCACTCTAGGTCGCAACGGCCAACTGCTTTGAGTTAAGGTTATTCTTCTTAATGTTAAATTGCTAAGTACCTTAGTAAGATACCAGGCTGTTCCGTTGCAATATGGTGGTGTTATTATCAATAATGTTACAAGATCAGTGAGAAGCAGCCTGGATCCCGGGGTCTGCTGCGCTAACGCTTCGTCAGTGTCGGAGCGTTAGAGCAGCAGACCTCGGGAACCAGGCTGAGTGAGAAGGTCTAGGTTAGAACTGGTTTTGCGCGACCGATGTTCGACGTATAAGGGGTTCGATGGTCAGGCACGCAGACTTGATTGATGCATGTCATCGTAACCAAATTCAGGTGGTTCGATGCTCGATATCAATCAAATAATTGTCTGATCTAATCGTTATTATTTACAGAGTGGAACGTGATTAAGTGAAAGAACAGATAGTGTAGATAAACAGGAAAGGAAACGTTTCTGTTCTAAGTACACATGACAAATTAAAGGGCAGTATACTTATTAAAAAGAATTTACACATGGTAATTCTTTCATATTAGCATATACATGTATGTGCCATGTGTACACCACCATCCCTCAGTAAAACGTATATCATGAAATACATATATTTCTGGATCCACCGGGCATTTGCCACAAAACGTGGTCGCCGAAGGCACACTTAAATATCGACCTTCAAAGAAAAGTACAGTTTATTAAGAAAAATAAAAACAACTAGTATCTGATGTTTACCAGAAAAGAATATGTGAAATGCTGGAGTTTAGCAAAACAGAGGAATCTTGCCGACATGTTTAACTTAAGCTTCAGGTACACCCATGATCTAAAGTAAATAAAAGCAACGAAACCTTTCCACATTGATAAGAAATCTCGATTGTAGTACTTTACCCACTATATTTTGGAGCATGTGTTGGTAATGGTAAAAGAGAACAGTGATATCGTCTTTTTTGTTTAATATTTAGATCTATTTGAATAGTCAGAGTGGCAAAAACGCCATCAACAAGACTGTATGGCAAGAAAGATGACTTCAACCTTCCAACTGTGAACTTTGTTATTATGTCCAGCTCTATTCCAGTAGCGTCCGTCTTTGGTGTCTACAGTTCACATCTGTTAGATACGATCGAGCATGCTTTTCCTATGCAGATTACTCAGAGCGTCATGCGAACCCGCACAAATGTAGTATCATCAAAGTTACAGGGTTCAACGGGTATGGTACGGTTAGAACGGTACAAAGGGCCACGCTTTTAGCAAAGAATGAATGATTGTGAGTGGTACAGGTATACTGGCATACAGAATGTTTAAAGTGTACCGTTTCCAGAACCACCCCACCCCACCCCACCCCACCCCACCCTCCTTTTCGCATACAAGCTAATAAAATCCACCACCCACGTCAAGAAAATCTGCTTCTCCAAGAACTCCCTCACTAAATATACGAATTGTTTGTTGTTAATTAACAGTCTTGTTTTCATATTTACTCTTTCAATAAAGCTTCAACTCTATAAGGTCCTGAGAATATGTACAAAGGTTTTGTCTTACCAACCCTTCTTAAAAATGCGAGTGTATGTTTGTTTGAGAGGTCCCTGTCAATTAAAGCAATGCAGTTGGCTCCTTCCAGTTCCAGTGAGTACATACAGGTGCGTGCAGCACGTAATGAGCTCCTCACATGTACTGATTCTAGATACAAAGTGTTTTGTGGCTGTTTGGGTGAAGAGAAAAACTCTCATGAAGGATAAAGGAGAAAAAAACTGGGAAGACCTAAGTATGACAGCGGTGTATATGAGATAATTTCCATTGATTTTGCTGGAACTTCAGCCAAGGGATGTGGGATATGATATAGAAATGACGCCATGAGCGATGACTGAAGATGAGCACAGTGCTCGATCATGCGGCACGCGCTGGCTGGTCTCACCCCCCGGGGCAATCCCCTGGGGTGGGCGGTGAGGAAAATGGTCTGCAAATATCTATCACGCTGCTGTGCTTTTCAGGGTTCGACGCCTGCGCTGTCCCTCAAGACCGAGACCTGTAATATTTCCGTCTGACTACTTAATTTAAACACCACTGCTGTAAAATGAAATGACCAGAAAGTCATATTTACCGCCCAGTTTCATAGGGTGTGTACGACAGATGCATTGTATAAAGTGAAACCTCGCTTGTCCGTATACCCCGGTATAAGTGTACTGCAGATCGAAGGACACATTCATGTACGCTCACGCTCACGCATACGCACACCACACCACACCACACCACACCACACCACACCACACCACACCACACACTGTTACGCTTCACACACACACAAACATCACACACACCACACGCACGTCACTCACGCAAGCACACACTTCAAATAACCTAAATACACATCTCTCTCTCTCTGTCTCTCTCTCTCTCTGTCTGTCTGTCTGTCTGTGTGTCTGTGTGTCTGTCTGTCTGTCTGTCTGTCTCTCTCTCTCTCTCTCTCTCTCTCTCTCTCTCTCTCTCTCTCTCTCTCTCTCTCTCTCTCCCTCTCTCTGTTTGAAGCAGCATGTAACCCAACTCACACGAAGATTAGCCATGCTTGCCATTTGCCTCTAAACCCAACTGTACTGTCCAATCTATGCTTCTGTTCATACTGTCCTCGTTTTCCACCTGTTATTGAAACAGTTGTAATTACAATATAGTCTCCATTAGCTCTATAGTCTACTGTTGAACTGTTGTACAATGTGAGGTATTGTGACCAGTGCATTCCTTACTTGCTGCTTGTGTATTTAACAAACCATCACACTGACTCAAAGATCCTTAATTCAATGTAATGATGGAATGAAAACGTAATCAAAATAGAGTTCCAAGGATTGGAAGAATGGTTACAGTAACATTGCTCCCTAACGCAGCTTCCTCGTTCAAATGGAGTGCCACGATACTCTCACGGGATGTCTACGGATGAAGCTAACTGATAGATACGACAGCTGGAAGTCAAACAGGGATAAGAGACACGGTTGCTTATCTTTGTTCATACATTCAAATGAATTATATTTAATTGTTTTGTAATTATATTCCCAAATGGCCGAATGACAATTCCCTTGTATATCATGGGGATTTCCATCCCACTTGATCATCTTTTGTTCAAAACAGAAATGTGCAAAAATGCTTACATTTGTGTATTAGTTCCGTTTGATAGAGTTTTATCTGAATCTTGCAGAACGTGTCATGACCAAACTACAGAAAACTGGAATCGTCTAATTATTTGAATGTCT